GAGGGGGGTTGTAGGGTTTCAAGGCTTGAAAGTTCCCCCCCTGAGCCCGCCCCACTGATGGCCGGTGTTGTGCCCTCTCCCCTGCCAGGTGCTGATCATCGGCGGCGGGGACGGAGGAGTCCTGCGGGAGGTGGTGAAACACCCCACCGTGGAGTCGGTGGTGCAGTGCGAAATCGATGAGGTGCGTTGGGCTCCCCGGCCGCGTGGAGCTGCCCCGGGGCTCTGGGCGGGCTGCCCAGCCCAAATCAGCCCTGCTTCACCGCATCCCCGGGAGCTGCTGCTTCACCTGCTGTCCCTTGTCAGTGGCGAGTGCCTCTGCTGCCGGCTCTGCTGGCCTGACACTGACAGCGCCACCTCTTTGCCTTACGAGTCATCTACGTGGCAGCTGGCTGCCTCTTTCATGTGATTTCTTTCACACACATACGTAGAAGCCCTTCCAGGCCAGCCTGGGCCAAGCGTGGGATCTGCAAGAAGGAGAGTTCTGGCTTTGTGGAGGGGCTGCTTTTCCCTTTCCCCCAAGGCAGAACAGAATGCTGCTCCTGCCAGGAGGGGATGGTGGCTTTGTTAAGCAGCCTCCTGTGACTGAAAGCAGGAAATAAGCAGGGGGTATTTGTTTCCGTGATAGGTGGGCTGGTCTTCTTCCTCTCAGTCAGTTTGTTCTGATTTTTTACTTTTTTAGAAAGTGTTCTATGTTCTCAAAGTGTGAGGCTTTATTAGGAATGGGAAATGCTGCTATATGAGCCTGTGTGCTCTGTCTGCCAAGCTAAGTAGGCATATGTGCCTGGTTTTGAACAAGCACTGTCTGACACCAGCATATTTTTTTGTCTCTGCCAGCTGTCAGAAGCTGGTAGTGCTCAGTACAATTGCTGGGCCCAGGGCAATAGCTGTCTAACCATTTTAGAGAAAAAAGTACCTTATGAGGGAATTGGTAACTGAGCAGAGGTGGGGATATTTCTCATCTTGCATCCAGAAACCGGCTGGCATGGGTTTATTGAGGAAGGAAAAAGAAAAGCCTTTACTTGAGATCACCTCTGCAAGTGATGTCTGCAGGGAAAAGGAGCACAGAGCATTCAGCCTTGTAATTGTATCCTCTTAGTTCCTCAGGGAGCTTTTGAAGCTCCAAGTTCTTCTTGTTGAGTTTGGCAAGGACAGACCAACAGTGTCACTGAACCCAGAGGCCATAGCAAAGGGCTGAGTGTAGCTTGTTGGCTGAGGATGCTGACAGCTCTGGAGGATCTAGCTGGGGAGTTGGATTAGTGCTGAAGGCATGGAAGGAAATGACTCATTGTGCTCTTCTTTCAGCTGCAGCTGCACAGTAGCTGAGAACTAGCTCCTTGTAGCCCCCCACTGACCCACTTGTGCTCTCTGTGTTGCAGGATGTGATCCAGGTATCCAAGAAATACCTCCCAGGGATGGCAGTGGGGTATTCCAGTGCTAAGCTGACCTTGCATGTAGGAGATGGTTTTGAGTTCATGAAGCAAAATCAAGAAGCTTTTGATGTGATTATCACGGACTCATCTGACCCCATGGGTAAGAATTCAGCCCACTGCTTTCCACACTCCTTTTCTCTTCCACCTGCCTTCTGGAAGGAATGCTAGCCTGGCCAGGCTCCTTTCAAGTGAACAGACTGTCACTGTCTTGGTTCTTTTGGGGAAGGATGAAGACCAGAAAATTGTATTAGCAAGGCTTCAAGCCAGCAGTCACATTTTTCTCTTCAAAATTTAACTCCAGCAGCTATTGCTTCTGGCAAAGGTCTGATCCTTGAGTCCAGCAATCCCATGGGGCACAGAACACCCTGCTGGCTAATACAGCTTTGCACATATGCCCAGTGGTGAAGCAGTGGCTCATGCACTCTTGGTGTAGCTACTTAGTCTAAAGGTGCCTGTTGTGAGGTTGCTTTATTTTGGACGAGGAAAACTGAGAGAGGGACCAAATGTAGTTAAGGCACCTCGTGTTAGGGACCTGCAACAAGTGCCTGAGTCACCTTCACTCTTGCTATAGTCAGCAGAGAGAGAGGCATCACTATAAGGCAGTTGGGAGCAGAAGTTCAGTTTAAAAAAGTATTCACTGACAGCAGCTGCTGGGAGTCATTCTGATGAAGTTCCTGGGCTTGCTATTGAGCAAAGCTCAAATCCTGATAGTTTTGCTGTGCTAGGTGCAGGCTGGGGTCATCCAGGTTCATCCAGGGTCAAAACTTCATGTTTTCAGATTATCTCCCAACACTTGTGATCACTGAAAAGCCATTTGAGATGTCTGTTTTCCAGTTCAGTTCCTGTGCAGCCTGGGCATTCTGAAAGCTCCAAGAAGCCTCCTGTCTTGGTCTCCCTCTAGACAACATCTCTTCACTCACTTTTCTTCCAGGTCCTGCAGAAAGTTTATTCAAAGAATCCTACTACCAGCTGATGAAGACAGCCCTGCGAGAAGATGGGATTCTTTGCTGCCAAGGTGAGGATGCTGCCTCTGGGCAGAGGCTGATGCCAGATCAGTGCCTGCAAAGTGTGAGGCACAAAGGGACTCTCTGCTTGGGGAGACGTGACGCAGGGAGCGAAATCCATTTCAGCTCCCAGGTACAGGAGTGGTTTTTGATCTGTGTACGTCAACTCGTTAACTGCTGGACTGTGCTTAGTTAAACTGCCATAAGGGTCTTATCTTGCCTTTGAAACCACATGAGCTGTGCAGAGTAGAGCAGGTTTGGACTTGGAACCACTGTTAACCTGGTGCAGGCCTGTGCAGAGAAGAGGGGCAGCTCTCACCTTGCATCCTGTCTTCCTTCTTCCCTGTAGGTGAGTGCCAGTGGCTGCACCTGGATCTCATTAAGGAGATGCGTCAGTTCTGCAAGTCTCTGTTCCCTGTTGTGGAATATGCCTATTGCACCATCCCCACCTATCCCAGCGGGCAGATTGGCTTCATGCTCTGCAGCAAGAACCCGGTGAGTTTCAGGCACCTGAAGTGCCCTTTTCCAGTCCCTGAAAGCACCCTCAGGACCTGCCTCAAGCTGTCCTACTGACTCTGAGCTGTGGCACTGAGCTCCCCCAGTTGTGAGGCCTCTAAACTCATGCTTGAGCCCTGGCTCCACCAGTCCAGAGCTGCAGTGCAGCTTGTTCAGTGCTGAATGAAGTGAAGAATTGGCCAGTAATGTAATAGTTGCCTTAGGAAGGACATGGTTTCTTCTCTAGTACAAGAAACTTTGAAGGGAGGAAGCCACTACCCATTTCCAGAGCCTGTTAAGGCTTATTGGTGCTGGTTGTACTAATGTGGGCACCTGCTTGATAAGAATCAGCTTGTGACTGGTAATCTGCTTGTAGAGAGGCCTCCAAGTGAGAGTCAGTGTTAGGATGTGGGATGGTAACTGTATCAGACCACTGAGGTTTGTTCTCTCCCCCATCTGCATTACAGGGAGCCTGTCACACGACGGTCACAGTGGTTTGGGGAGGCAGCAGCACTTCTGCTGTGTTTAATTTATCTGGGGTCCTGGCAGTGTGTGCTGTGCCTGACTTAGCACAGATGTGCATTCTGCTCTGGAGAGCAAAAGCTTGGCTTTGGAGATGCTCAGGCACAGCCTGACAGCTTCATCTGGCACGTGGCTCACACGCAGTCTGACCTCATGCACTGACATCTGTGAACAAGGGCTGGTCACACGAGGAGTGTAAACTGCAGCCCTTGGGGCTGGAGCTGTGCAGAACCTTTGACCTCATGCTAGAACAGAAAGTGTCTGTTTCCCTGGGAGTCCTCTGGGATCTGCGCCAGGAATCAGGATGCCTGTTGCAGGCTCTTGCTCCTTACCCTGATGTTACAGTTACCTGGCTTCTTGATTGCAGAACACAAATTTCCGGGAGCCTGTGCAGCAGCTCTCACAGCAACAAGTGGAGGAGAGGAGTCTGAAATACTACAACTCTGACATTCATCGGGCAGCTTTCATTCTGCCAGAGTTTGCACGGAAGGTAAGCAAGGCTGTGCTGCTGCTCCTCCATCAAGGACAAGGTCTGACTTCTTTGGCAGGAGTAGGGAATATACAGGAGCAAGGATTTCCTGCAAGCTCTAAAGGCTTCTGTGAGCAAGTCAGAGCAGGATGGCATTTTGTGTATCAGAGCATGAGTCAGTCTGGGAAGACTGGAGTTCAGTTTGGAACTGTTCTTTGAGTTGATGTCCCGTGCCTTCAGGGCAGATCTCTCCTACTTCACCTAACAAGACTTAAATCCAAGAGCCTGCAGAACTGGTGTTTCCCATTCTAAAGCCCCAGAAGTCTTAGATAAAATGTGGTTGTGGTTTCTAGTGCAAAACAGATGGTAAAGAAAGGATGTTCTAGCCTAGTCCTGCCTTCTTGAAGGACAGTCTGTGTGTCTGCATCATTCCATCATCTCTGGGTTGCAACTGTAGGTTCTAGAAAAATCACCTCAGAGTGTCTGAGGAGTGAAGGCAAGTTCCATGTTGTGTTGAGCTGTACTTCTGCTGGTGGAGCTGCAGCAGGTCCACCCTGATGCTTTTTTGTCTTTGTCTGTCTCCAGGCCCTGAGTGATGTGTGAGACAGAAGCTGCTTCCTTCCTTCAAGTTGGACCCTGAGATCATCAGTGATGTGGTGGGGACCTTCCCAGCAGACTGCAGATTTGCTCTCCACTGTGTGGGATTGTTTAACCCTTTGCCAACCAACATTCCCTTTGATGATGTGTTAAAGATGATGGGGCATAAGCCAGATAAGACTATTGAAAAGGCCCAGTGACTTATTGCGTGAGGTCAAAACTGTTCTTTCCAGTGCTGGAAATGTAAGATGTCTTTTTCCTTTCTCTCCTCCCTGCACCCATTCTAAATCCTCCCCTCCCTGCAACTGACATGATATATTTATAACTGATTCGTATTTCTGTCTGCTGATCTTCTGAAACCTGGGAAGAGTCCAAAAGGGTCACTGACTCAGCCTTAACCACACAGAGTGAGAGCTTTGTGCCCAAAGTTAGCTTGCTCTCTCCTGATAGGAGCTCCCTGCTGCTGAGACGTTTTGACTGGGATCGGGTCTGAGCCTTCATGTCCCACTGCCCTCTGAGACACCTGCACTGCTCTGCAGCTCGGCTGGAGAAGTCACAGTGCAACTGTTGCCATTCACAATAGGTGTCCCTGCAACCCTGATGGAGTAGCAGTATTAAACACCAGGCAGGCTGGCAGCAAAGTCTTGTGGCTTTTGTTTTGTTTTTTAATTTAAATTGGTTGGGAACAGAAGTGCTGAGGTACTAACAGGCTGACTCCTGTTCTTACCTGTGCCATCCAAGTGGTTCCAAAGAATGTTTATCAATACGGTGATAGGCGCTTTATATATATAAAAATATAAATATATATATCTCTAAAAAACAAACCTTAGATCCATTGCCTGCTGCGAAGAGCTGATGTTGGGGAGTCAGTTGTGCTGACAAATCTCTCATCTCAGTCATGCTGGGATGCCTCAGGCCTGAGTATTTGCTAGCCCTTAGGGGGCATCATTACTTCTAATGCTGCGTCCAGAATCCCCACATGCCTAAGTTGTTTTTCGTTGTACTCTGTGGTGAGATGGATCTGCCTCCACTTCCTTACTTGTGTTTCCAAGGCTCCATGCCACCCCTGTGCAGTGGGTGTCCTCCCAGCACAACCTCTGGGCGTTTGTCACTCCCTTGCAATCAATTAAACACTCGGCTCTGGTTAAGGTGACATCAGTGTGGGTTAGTGTGCTTCTTTGGGGAGAGTGTGGGGATGAAAAGAGAGATCCTGAAAGTTTGCTGTGCTTGTCAGAAGATATGCAGGGGTGCTTTGTAGTTGGTCTGACCTCCTGTCTCCCTTGCCTCTAGGCATGACAAGTTACCATCACAATAAGCTCTGAAGAACAATCCCACTGTATGGTAACCTGACTGCATAATAGCTCTAACTTCTGTCATCCTCAATGCTGCAGAACTCAGTACCTTCTTTCCCAACAATTCTCTAATCTAATGCAGCCTCTGGAACAGCTTTCCAAACTGTTTCCTAGCTGCCCATCTCTGCTAGCCTCATGTAATTTCTGTCAACCACAGGCCCCACTCGGTTGTGCTTTCCTTGCCTCTGCAGAAATTGCAGTAGCTCAGGGTCTCCTAGGGGCTGAACCAAGTGCCAAACCTCAGCTGAACAGGCTGGGAACAGTCACTAGGTGGCATCAGAAGAGGACAAAAAAGCTCCTTTTGAGGGAGGCTTTTTGGCTTGTGTTGCAATAAGAGGAAACAAGAAGGAGCAGACCTATGCAGAGGTTGGCTTTACCATGATTGTGACCCTACAAGCAGCCTCTGAGCCTGCAGCAACGTACTTCTTGGTGTCAGTACCAACCCTTCTGCTTTCTCCCCTCTGTGATCAGACTCACCACTTCTTTCCCAATCCCCCTTTCTACTATCAGTGTCAGTACAGCTGGATAGTGGTCATTATGGTCTGCAAAGCTTTGCTAAACTGCAGATCTCCTTTGTATTCTGTTGAGATTACACCCATTTTGCCTTTTATCTGTCTCCTCCTGCAGCTACTGATCAATTAGGGCTATTGAGGCATTTTCAATGCTCAGCTCATGTATTTTTACTATAAAGAGCAGACCAGTAAAGGAGGCTGCCATTCAGTGCTTCATCCTTGACAGAAAACTACCTCTGGCACTCTCTCCAGGAAGGTGTTGGAGCAGCTGCCAACTAGTAACAAGTTCAAGCCTTCCACTCACCCTTTGTGAGTACAACAATGCCCAGGAGGAAAAAAACTTCCTCAGATCTGTTACTAGCTTCCAAACAGCTAATTATTCCTTCTATTTCCTCTGAGCTCTCTCCAGATTTATAAGTTTGGTGAGTGGCCGGTGATGAGAGCAGGAAGACAAGGGTGTTTTCTGTCCAAGTTGCACATACTCTGTCCATAGGGTCCTATATACAGTTTCAGTCATTCCAAAACACTGTTCTTTGCAGGCAGTTTCAAACACTTCAGTGCCTTGCACTAGGTAAAGACAGAGATCAGTGCTTGAATCAAGCACTCCAAGTGCAGCAAGAAAGGGAGCAAGAGCTTGTGCATCCATAGCTAGTTCCATCTGAGCAGCCTTAAGGACTGTTAGAAGTTACCCCTGTGCTGAGAGGTGCCATGAGGTCTACATGCAGTTTAAGCTTCTGGAATGGTATCTGGCCTGGCAGACATCTGACAGGCAGTTGTGTCTTCAGGCTGATTATCCCTCCCACAAGTGTGTGTCACCTGTTCTGCTGCAGGTCGCTGTGGAGATTGAGAAGGGACTGGCAATTTGAGTAATGTCCACCAGGAGAGAACTAGTGGGGCTTCGTGTGGAACTGAATGCTGAGCACTGGAAAGCAATCTTCACAGTGTCTCCAAGTGGGCAACCAAAGGACTTGAATAACTTTTCCAGAGTTTTAGCTGGCTTTTCCTGAAGGCTGATCAAGCAAGGCTGTTCATAAGCAAAGATCCACAAAGATGTTGTTTGTCCAGGCATTCTGCAGTCATATTCCAGCATCTTATTAAACCAGGAGCATATGAGCAGGGATAGGTTTTGTCCCAAGTAACATGCATACAAATGTAATATCAGTCAGAGCAGGTGGAGACCAGCAAGGGAACAGAGCCTGATGGGCTTTAGCACATTAATTGTTTAAGCCTCTTGGTGCCTTCTGAACTGTGTCAGACTCCCTCCTCTGTGCTTTACTCATTGAACTAACTCAATTTTAGAAGTTCAGAAAGGAGCTTAAAAAAATTAAGAGAAATCTCTTGCCTGTATCTCTTGAGCCCTTTCAGCCAGTTAATTGGCATGAGTGTTGTATTCATCCAGAGCTAATGTTATCGAGGCCCGGCTGAATTATTGATGCAGCTTGGCTGGAGCAAGAGACTGCTGAAGTAAGAATGACAATTCATCTTTCATCAGAGAACAGCAGTCTCAGTAAGGAAACAGTCAAAAAAGTGCAAACAAGTGCCACCAAGTTCAAGGAGTGGAAAGTTCCTTTGATAAAATGGTGGGAGGAGGAGAAGAGGGAAAAGTGTGGGCAAAGAACAGCAGCTGAGGCCTGGCAAAAGAGACAGACAATGTTGTTAAAAAGTAAGATTATAAATTTATCAAGTTAAATACTGAGAATTCTAGGTGATGCTCTTCCCTGGTCACGTATAGGATGGAGTTAAGTGCTTTTAAAATATGCAGAAGGTGGGGAATTGGAGCCAGGGAATCTCATCAATTATAGCACAGTGATGTGTGAAGCAGATAAAGACTGAGAGGATCATTAGGAACGTTAAGGATCTTGGTGGCAGGCGCTTCAAGGACACCCACTCCAAGATGGTTGGTGTAGAGGAGGGCTGGCCAGACCCTGAACAGGGAGCTGTCCTCTGCTTTGTACTGAATGGGAAGGAGTTTGCTTAACAGAGCCAAATCTGTGTGCCAGGGATAAGGGCAAGATGATGGATGTGATGACCCTGCATGGGTTTCATCCCCCTTTAGCTGAAGGAGGGGAGTGACCAGAACCCCATGCTATATAGAATTCCTGTTTAAAGCTCTCCCAGCTGAGCAGTCCCTCTGTGGTGCTGGCAGTCCGACAGTCTTGTGTGTTAAAAGTCCCTGGTGAGCCCTTTTTGGCAGAATTCCCACAAGGCACAGTGCATATGGAATCCCTCAGGAAACCCAAATGGCAAAGAAACATTTCTGTCCCAGCCTCTTCCAGCTAATCTTGTCACCAAGGGGGCAAGTCTGGTGTAACAGTCAGTTAGTGTGTCCGTGGGTTGTAACCTCAAGCATCCTCAGCTGCTTCACTGCCTGAAGTGCTTCCTACTTGGAGCCAGGCAAAATATTTTCAATGGAAAATAGAGGTGTTTTGAAATAGAAGTATTTCATACCAAATAGTTACTTTTAAGGAAGATTTTTGGAGGGATGACTGAAATGTTTAAGTCTGCAATAACAAAGAGGTTTTGGGCACACCACTGAAGCATTAGACTTGCCCTCCCTTTATCCTCCTGCAGTCCCTCTGGGGTCAGCAGACTGAGAAGGCAGCACAACGTCCCTAGAGAGCTGTAAGAGGCTTGTAGTCATGCGTGCTCTGACAGCACATCCCTGGGGTACTGTCCCCCCTTTGCAGCTCTTACCAGGGAGGAGCAGAGCAGCAGGCTCCATCCCAGGCTGGTGCAGCCTCTTCCCTGGGTCTGTTGGGTTAGTGAAGAGCCATGGCTGGAACAGCCACCTGCACACTCCTCCAAAGCCCCTGGGGAGTGCAGTGCCAGGGAATACTGCAAGCCTGGCCTGATAAATGAGCTGCGATTTCAGGCCCATGAACAAATTAGTTTCCCCTTCCAGGAAGACTCACAACGGTCAGCTGACTATTGCTTGTTTTACTTAGTTGGCCTTTGAAACTTGGGGCTCTTGAAGGCAGAGAGAGAGGCTACCAGGGAGAGGAAAGCAGCAGCATTTGAACCCTTCCTTCAGCTGCAGCTGAGTGCTTCACCTTTGGGATCCAGACTTTGTTCTGGAAGCCTGATGCAATTCTGCTACGTGCTTCAAGACATGGTGATCTGAACCCAGAACAGGCAACGAACAGGCAGAAGAGGGCAACTCTGCAGCCCATGGAGGACAGCAATTGAGAAATTATCTCATTCCTTAGGGTGGCATTTGGTGCCAGACATACTCTTGGATTTTTTATCTTTGCTGCTGTACAGGTGCACTGGGAGAGGTCAGTGGCCTCTTTCTTAAGAGATTAAAAACTCCTCTCCCATTGCATGTTGCTGGTGCACCCTTAATCACAGAAAGATGCAGGTTGTCTTATGTGATTATGTCAGGATATCGTGCTGTACTTCTGAACCCAGTGTGCATCCCTGCTGAAGCCCTGCTGTGAGCCCAAATCCTTGGATAACCAGGCCTTTTCCAGTTACTGTATGCTGACTTCCTTCTGGAACATCCCTACCCTTACCAAGTTTCCAGGGGTGTATGCATGGATATGCTGATTGCAGATAGATCTACCCTCACTGTAAAGTGACAGAAACCCACCCAGACCATCTGCAGCTCCTGACAGAAGAGAGCATCAAGGAAGAAGACTTCTAAAGGGGTG